TTTTTTTTTTTGTTTTTTTTTTATATATATACATCACATCATCTTTGACCGAGCCTATTTAGAGCATAAACCTACAAAATATTATTGGCTCTCTCTTCTTATTGGCCTTCCTTAGGACCCAATTAAAGCATAATTCAACGGGTTGTTATCAGTGTCTTATCATACATACTAGCTTGGCTAATTACTTAAAAAATTCATTAGAGGCACAACTTTCGTTATTACTATTGTACTATATATATTAGTATACGACATTTGCTTTGACCAGCTCATCGATTGATCTTATAATATGAGAGTACGACTTATTTTTTTTCTTTCTTTAAATTTGTAAGTGCAATAATGGTCAAAATGCCATATTTGTTGAATTATTGCAAGTTAATATTCTTAAGGAAAATTATGATAATTTGAAGAAAGAATATGCGATCCAACGATTGGTTAGTCATACTTTTTCAATAGATATATGTATTTTTTTAATTGAAATGTCACACTTTAAAAAAAAATTAAACGATAAATCAACCCGAATATTAGATTCGAAAATTCACACGTTGCGAATGATATGAAGAGAGAATGTGCATTTATGAGCAACTCTTGTTTGCATAACATGCCCTTCACCCTTTATTTCTCTCTCTCTCTTTTTTTTTTTTTTTTTTGTTCATTTTCCTCTCACATCTAAGTCAAATATTTTTCCAGAATTAAACCTAAAGACAGGCAAAATAAAAAAAAAAAAAAAATGAAGTAAATATTAAATTGCAGCCTCAGAGATGCTCTTTAATGCAGGTTGCCATGACCTGGACTTTGATGGTGTGTTATTTCTTGACCTGTGCCTTTCTTGTTTTACCTGACAACATAAATACAAACCTATAATTAAAAATATATTGAGGTCAGATAAATTATTTTTGGTGACATTAGCTGTATGACCTTATATGTTTTCAACAAATGTGTATACTTTCAAATTAAAATGACATATTATAAAAAATAACATAAATAAAATTATGACATTTCACATAACATAAGTTTGAATTTGTTTTAAAAATTAAAAAAAAAAAGGGGAAAAAAGGACAATGCTTTGAGACTTTGAGTACATGTTAAAGTATTTGTTAATGGCTTTGTTGAACTGTTTTTTGGTACTGTGTTTTCCACTTTTAATTAGAAATATAGAATAATAATAATAATAATAATAATAACAATAATAATAATAATAATAATAATAATAATAATTGATGGGATGAATGAACAACTCAAGCATGGATTTGAAGATCTCAAGATTCTAAAATCCAACTCAGTATAGTACATGGCATCATTGTAATTTATTAAGAAAATTATTAAAATCAGATATATGGGCATCTAAATTGATCAAAACATTTTTTTTTTTGATTAATTTTCACCTGACTTGTTTTCTTCACATCATTTTTTCCAACTTGTGCCTGAGGAGGCTCTGAACTCTGTTTCTCTCTCAGCTTGGCTTGCTTTTTTGCCCACAACCCCTTCATCACCTCTGAATTTTGAAATTACAAAAAAGGTAAATTAACCAGTATAAGGGTAAAAAATAATTCTTGAATTTTGTAGGAAAAAAAGGGGAAGGGCTGTTACAACAAACCCAATGACTCATGAGGCAAGTTGGCTCCCCAAAAAGAAGCCAAAAAAAAAAAAAAAAAAAA